ATACCCCAAACTTTTTTACTTACGCATTTCACTTACACACTTTTTACTTATACTACTTATGATATTCCTGTATTCGTATACACTTTTTTTATTTAAAAAATTACTTTTCTGTTTTATTTACACATTAACTTATACTCGCCAACATTAAAAGATAAGTAACGATCTCCTGTTAATATATTAACACTACGCCCCTATACGCTCCTGGCTTCAGGCTACATCTTCGACGGTAGTGAGCACAGCGAATACACGTGGTTCGCTGAGGAGACTGTTTGAAACCGTTGGGATGGTTTCAGAGCATAGTTTCCCACTATTGCGTGTGGACAAGCGTCTTTGTGGGGCACCTCAGGTCACTTCGTTATTTACCCAATTTATATTTTTATTAGGTCAAAAATTCTTCTCCATTTAGAGTTTGGTGTTTTATTTATTTTTTTTTTTTTAAAAAAATAAAACATCCAAACTCTTGTTGATTGGTGTTTTATTATTTTTTTTTTTTTATAAGTTAAAACTAGATTAACTAAAAAAATAAAACATCCAAACTCTTGTCGATTGGTTCGTTATTATTTATCTTTATTTTTGATAACTGACAAAATCTTTATATCGAATTATATTCGTCTTGTAAATAAATTTAAATGCATAGTAAAAACATAACAAAAAAAAATGAAAATTTTACATTCTGCACAGTTGAAATAAAAAAAAAACAATAACAAAGTAAAAAAATATTTAATCCAATTATCATTCTATTGAAATGATATGCTGGATACTCTTGTTTTTTTTTGTTTTCTTGATTCTTTATGTGCTTACAGTTCTGCATATGGTACTGTTATTATTATTATTTTTTTTTTACAGCACGTACACCAGGAATGTGGTGCAAAACTCGGAAGAACACATTATATTTTGTTTCTTCGCTAATGCCTAAATGATTATTTTTGTTTTGATTTCAAGTATAATTTTGAACCTAAAAAAATAGTAACATGCTATATAACTCCTAAAAATGATATCGACAACATGATGAGATCGGAATGATTAGCAAATACCATATTTCGTCTTCTCGATGATAATACTGAATATACCCAAAATTTGGAACCTAGGTAGGCTTGATCTAGAGATGCAGGCAATTCGTCCCAATGATTGCCATAACTAGTTACGACTTAAGCTTTAGCTAGTTACGACTTAAGCCGTAGCATCATTGGGACATCATTGAAACGATTCGCTTGCACCTCTAGTTTGATCTGAGGTAAAAAGATCATAACTATGTATATGTGGGAGATTCAGAAGACCTGAGTTAAAGGACCCCGAGGGTCATTTGTTAGCAAAGATCACATTTGTTTTCAAATTTATCCTATGCTAACAATCAATAATATGAAAGTTTTTTAATTTTAAACCCGTCATTTTAAGTGAAGTCTTTTGCAATCGCGATTTTGCAATTATAAATCAGTTTCAAATCAATTTTTTGCTGAAAATGAACAAAAGTCAATATATTTAAACGCTTAAATGATTAATAATTTAAATGAAATAAAAATTTTATATCAAGATTCTATTTTGTCTTTTGCCTTACAAAATATTTATTTTAAGGTTATTCATGTTTCGTTTATGGGTACATATACGATAAGCAAATTTAAATAAGGTGAAATTCAGATATACGTGTAGTA